GTTGGTTTATTACGCGTGTAGCCATTTCACTTTGAGATCCTACTCACCCTGTCAGTGTTTGTTTTTTAATAATGACCCATAAAGAAAGGCTGACATCTACAAAACAACAAAGATAAGAAATGACAAAGCAAGTATTTATATATATTGTTTAATGCTTGTTTGCAGCCCAGCCTTTCACTCGTCATTCAGTCACTGATAGCTGAGTGATGACTACTTAAAGAGTAACACAATCACTAGGCGTGTGCTGCATGAGACGGATGCAGGGCCGGCCCTTGCCACAGGCAGTATAGGCAAATGCGCATCAACCCATCAGGGGCGCCGACAATTGGGGAGAAAAAAAAAAAGTTAGAAATTTCACAACAACACAATTTCCCGTGATGAGTCTCCATTGTGATTTGAAAACTTCCATCAAACGAGTCCTTTGGTGGGCGGGAAAAAAAACGCGTCAGAATCGTCACTTCCTGTACTGACAGCGGAGGTGTCCTGAGAGTGGAGGTCTGCAGGCAGGCTCCCATGGGAATAACCGCCGAAACTGAATATGTGACGTGGATCATAAATAGATCAGCAATCAAACAAAATCTTCAATTTCTCTTCACACAATATACGTCTCCTTGCAGTATCAATACTAATTCGACTGACTTTTATATTTGATCCAATCGGTATATTGGTATTGTACACCATAACGGCGCACAGCTGATAGAAAGGGACACCTGGTGGTTAAAGCACGTTATTGACGTGTATTATTTGTATTATTAGATATTAATAGGAGACACAGACAGACAAACTAATAAGGCTTTATTTAAACATTAAAGAATACTTTAGATTAAGGTCTTATTTTGAATAAGAAAAAAGCTTTGGGGGTATAAATATTAAGCCTGACAAAGTACTAATATATTGCTTTCCTGCAATGTTAACTACTGTATGTTTAAGCACTTATTTTAACTGATATTATACATATGTATTATACTCTTATAAGATGTATGTAGATAGTATAAGAAATGTGCAGAATATGACAGTTTAATGGTGGAGGTATACACACATATTGATAGATGTCTTGTAATGCGCTGTTGAGGAACCTGCGACCCAAGTTTTTCATCTCCGACCTTGTCAGGTATTGAACAATCAATAAATAAAGAACACAGAATTATTAAATATAAAACAAAGAATTTGTGTGATTATACTAAATGATTTACAAATAAACACCACTGCATATTTACAACTGTTACACATGCTGCTGTAACGCAAATGTTTTCAACTTAGGATCAATAAAGTATATCTTATCTCTCTCTTATCTCTTTCGACTCCACTTCGAGCGATATAATTACCAACAAAGCACTTATATACTAACAAAGGACTGGCTTATCTAAAGCCAGTTGAGTAGCACTTGAAATGTTTTGGCTCTATGAAACCTGATGTACTTATATGATTCTGTTTTCTTCAAGTTTGTATCTTCTTGGTCGAATGTACTTATTGTAAGTCGCTTTGGATAAAAGCGTCAGCTAAATGCAATGTAATGTAATGTAAGATGATCGATGGCTACTGCCATATTTGCCTCTGAACCTTGACAAGTGCATGTTTCAGGCTTATCAATGAACAACAGGAGGGGTCACAGACATAAGACCAGCTGTTAAATAAAGCTCTTCTGACCTTAGCTGTCATGTGTGTATATATTAATGCTGCCCATTATGGACACAAGCAATTTTCACCCATTTATTAATTATATGTTTTAAATGTGAGTGTTTCCTATCCCCTAAACCTCCAGGGATGTACACAGTTTAATACTGGCAACTTCTTATTATGGGAAATACCAAAACGTCTTTTAAAACTACAATTCCCAGTAGAGACGTGCCATAGATAGAGAACATGTTGCGAAACACACAATAGCCAGCATGTGTAGTTCTGGGGACGGGGTGGGGGAGGGGGGGACGGGGTGGACCCGTTCAAATCCAGTTTTGGACAGTCTGCCGTGGTTCCATCCCATTTCAAAGTGCTGTTCGACGCTCGGAGTAACCCTCGGCGCACACTCAAACATCCAATCACAGAGCTTGAGGACTATCACAGGGTTTGTCAAGCGAAGCGGAGAGAATACTTACTTCCGGGTGTAATATTCTCTAAAGAAAATGAGCTGCTCCGACCCTCGGTCCTGACGGACTCCAACTTGTGTTTATTTATCAAACAAATAAATAAACATAAGGATAATTATGTGTTATTGTTGAGTAAATAACAGTGTGTGGTTTAGAAAAGAATACAAAATTAGAAGGAAAAAACGATGAAACAATACAGATTTCAGTTTTCTGAGCCCTGACTCTCCCCAGAACTGACGGAAACAAAAGTCCTAAATTATTCAATTAAAATAAAGAAGTGAAAACAATAAGTGTGGCTTGATATTGAGTTAGAAAAAGGTTGATAAACGCTGTGAGAATGGATCTGCGGAGAGCATTTCGCCACGATCTCAACCCGTCTATTACCAACGTTCAGGGAGCTCTATGCAAGTCAATGGGACGCCCTGCCCGTTGAAAACTGACTCTCAAGGGGTACCCTGTCCGTAATACAGTGACGGGGAGGGGCCCTGACCGACCGTCAACATGTGACGGGTTGGGAGTGAGAACGTGTTGGTTAGAGACCAGCGCCCACCTATAGCTCTCCCCAGGCAGGTCCCTCCCCATCCTGTTCCGGATGCGTCCGTGAACACTGTGATGTAGGAGGTCACCCGTCCCAGTGGAGACCCCCTCCGGAGGTGATCCGGGGACCCCCAGAACCAGAGGTTGCCCTCCACTGAGGGGGGGATGGTCACCAGACGCCGTTTGTGCCTCTTGGTATCTAAACGCAGGCTGGAGAACCACCTCTGCAGGCGGCGCATATGAACCCGAGCGGGACCACAATATGAGCCGACGCCATGTGACCCAGAGTTTGCATGACTGTCAAAGCTGTCACTGTTGCCCCCTGTCGCAGTCTGCAAACTGCCCGAAGCAAGGATACCTGCTCTCTGACAGGGTGGCGCGTAGCCTGCCTGCATCGAGCACCACTCCCAAATACAGCGCCTGTTGGTGAGGTATGGGGGTGCTCTTCTTCCAATTGATCGCAAAGCCCACCACATTGCCCGTTCCCTGGACCCGGCCATGACTATGAGGTCGTCCGGATAAAAGAAAACTCACATGCCATGGGCGCGCAGCAGCTGGAGCACAGTGGCCACACATTTGCTGAACGTGCGTGGGGACAGGGAGTAGCCGAATGGTAGTCTGTTGTACTCGTAAGCTACTCGCTGGAAGGCAAAACGCAAATACTTTCTGTGTTTCTGAACACTCTCGACATGAAAGTAAGCGTCCTTCAGGTCGATGGTTGTGAACCAATCGCCTGGCTGCACCAGTCCCAGTAACTGTTTTATAGTTAACATCTGGAATTTTCTGCGTGCAATGTGGAGATTCAGGCTGCGAAGATCCAGAATTGGCCTGAATTCGCCTGTCTTCTTGGGAACCAGGAAGTACAGGGAATAGTGCCCCTCCTCTCTGTGCTGAGGGTGCACAACAGACACCGCCTGTTTTTGCACCATCCCCTCGGGATGATAGCTTTGTCTCTCTTATGCCTGTGAATGGCGGAGGGATGCTGCAAAACGGAATAACCCAGTCTCAGCTTCCTGTCCATCCACTCCGTTAACACACAGCTGCGCTTCCATTCCCCATAACACTGCGTTAGGGGATGTGCAATCAGCTGTGGGGCCCCAGCGATAAAGCTGTGGTACTCTCTGGTGACCCGTCCCGCCGCAAAACTCCCCGCGAAGGGAAGCTCTGCCGGTGGTCGACACAGAAAGGGCCGACTCTCTACTGAGGTCCTTGAACGCGCGCTCCGCCATGATACATTCACCCAAACAGTGAAATGCATCAAGCAGAGTTTTTACACTCGCCGTTATGTGTCTCCTAACCCTGCTATGCCGGCCATAATGTCCCTGTACCCGCATAGCGCGGTTTATCACTCCCACCCGCGCATGCTGCCTCCTTTACTGGAGTTACAACCAGGGCAGCAAGTGGGGAATCTGTACGGTTAACATTATGTGGGAGTGTGGGTTTGTGGAAAGAAAAGACACTGGGAGATTTTTATCTTCCCATTTTATTCTTCCTGGGTATGGTGACGTGACCATACCCAAATGGACCCATTAGTCCAAAATTAGTCCGAAACTGTGACGCGCTGGGGGGGGGGGGGTGCTAGTGGAACCTCGCAGATGGGGGTGCTGCAGCCCCCTCAGCACCCCCCCCCCCTTCCCGCTATCATTCGTGATGTCTCGCTGTCTCGCTGACCCCCACGCAGCAACCAGGAAATGATCCCAGCTCACACTGTCCGCTCCTCACAGCAGCGAGCCGTGCAACGTCCCGCTGTCAGACCCCACGCAGCATTCTCATCTGTTTGTCAAACACTGATGTTCCACTGTAACGGTGGTGGACTCATCAGAGCAGAGTGGGCGAGCCGACCAATCAGAGCACAGTGGGCTCACAGGGGGGGGGGGGGGCAGGAGCTCCAACAAGCCGTGTAGGACAGAGAGTGAATACACATACTATACAGAGATGCTGTATGAGAAACCAATGTGAGTTTGGAACATTGAACAATGTGAATCTATTCTAGTCGACCTCAACAATGGAATTATGATCAGTAGAAATGGCCGTGACACGGGACCTTTAAGTTCTCTTTTCGTTACGTTTTGTTTTTCCTCCTTTTGAGCGTTTTTTGTTAAACCAGTTACCTACTCGGTTAAGAGGGATTTTTGTTCATCGATATTAAAGATAGTTACATTCAATACTGTGTCTCTGGGTTGTGCATTTGGGTTCTCCAGGTTGTGTCGAGGATGTGACATAAATTATATTTTGATGCAGTTTTTACTTGTGATAAAGTGTTTTCTCCGATGTATTTGTATCCGTTTAGTAAAGTCAAGGATCTTCTGAATGTGGTGCGTTAAATAAACTGGACTCACACTGACTTTGAGAACTTCTTCATTTATTAAAAGTCGGGTGGTGCTGCTCTCAAAGGAAAAAAAAGGCTTTCGGTCACGTTTTAAAACCCAAAAAGACTCTGAAATAAAAAATAAAAGTCATGACATAAAGCACCACACTGACAGACTGTACATTTGTACATAGAAGGTAATAAAACAGGCCTACCTATAACAAAACTTACTGACTGTAACTAACCCAACATTTCATTACATTTATCCACATTTAAAACGCATAAGATGCCAAATGGACAACATGAACCAGGAGAACATCACGCTATTGACAGTATAGCTATTATATCGATTAAAATACAACTGATTGCATATCTTACAGCCTGGGCACTACGAGAACAAATAATGAGTTAAAAACTTATTTAGAGTATGTATTTCTCCTCACACATAAATATTTCATTCATTTACTCCTCCTTGACTTCCCAGATAAAAGTATTACAGTATCTTCAGCCTCTTTTATTTGATTTTTAAAAGTCTGAAACTCGGATAAAGGTTGGGAAAAGTTGTTTACTCGCTCGATTCCTGTTTGCCTGCAGGGAATGTTAACCACAATGCATTCTGGGTTCCTATACGTGACGTGAACGTTAACATATTAAATATTTGGAGGCCAATGTCAAGTTAACAAATGGGGATACAGGACACCGAACAGACAGAAGTAACATAGCTAATGTTATGCTAACTGGATGCCAACAAATCCTGGGCGTATCATGCTAAATGTTCATATTTCTTCTTTTGTACGGCGAGTAAAATTAAACAAAAGTATTGATTGATGTCCAAAAATGAAAATTCTGTGAATAAATTAAACAGCTAATTGATAAACGGTAAGTTTCAAGATATGGTATTACACTATACCGAGGTTTGATGTGGACTTAATTAATTATTGAGTGTTAAGACAGAGACAGAAAGGTGTAGATACCAAATATCAATATAACAGCTGCTACCTACAACTCTTAGTAATCAATATTAAGATCTAATGTAAATCAGGGTGTGTTAATAGCAGTGGCTGTGGAGCCCTGGAAATTGGGGCCCATATTTTGCATTTCATTGACATTAAAAATACCTATAACAGTCACACGTTGGCTCCATCTTGTGGCGGTGTAAAGAAGAAACAGACTTGAATGCATTCAAAGTAATTTGAAAGATAATCACATTAATAATGATCAGTGGCTTTACATCGAGGGTAACAGAGTGAGATGTCCTGATATATGTGGGGAATATTATACAATTATGCCAAGTAAAATAACTCACTTTTCCTCATAGAAATGTGCATTTCAGTCTATTTTTCTGACTGTAACGCAATCCAACATTAATCCTTGCTGATAAACTTTGTGCATCTTCAAGTCTTTTTCTGTGTTTTGCTTCTTTTCCTTTGCTGGCAGGTGTTATGAGAGCAGAGAGAGAAACACAGCGCTGACGCTCAGCAGAGGAAGCACAGGTGTGAGGTTACAGCTGGAGCTCACCGCTGGGAAAACAGAAAGAAAAACACTTATTGTTATTATTTTTGGTATTGTGGAGAAACAGGGCAGATGTACTGTATTCGTCAGAGTCAGGTTTATTACCAGTTAGGTTAACACATACAAGGAATTTGACTTGGTTTTGTGACGCATTCAAAATGTAATTAAAATCACAGATAGAAAAATATTTTAAGAAAAATATAAAAACATAAAAAACATTTAATTGACGTTGAAATCGTAGAAATAGAATTGGAAGAAAATATATGCAGTAATAAAAAACAAGTTATAAAACGGACAAGTCAAATCAAGCAATCTGATTGGTTCTTAGTCGTGATATAATGAGCGTATGTCACGGGTAGAATTGTAGTTACTTTTCACAAGTCAGTATCCCTCCGCGTCTGAGAAAAGCTACAACCGTTACAACCGTTACATTACGTCTAACTAACAAAGCTTAAGATGGAAACATTTAAGGTTAACTTCGACCTCCGGGGGGGTCTTACAATGGAGGAGTGGATTGAGGAGTGCCTATCTCCAGAAAGCACCTAAACAACGACATGCAGAGCTACGTGGAGAGCAGGTAGACCAACTGGAGAAGTACCACCATTCAAAAGCTTTCTGATGCAGGTCTTGAAAGCAGAGAAATGATGGCCGTTAGTGGCCACAGGTGCGAAAGCTCTCTCCAGAGCTGCTGGAAGCCGAATCTCGGGGACCGGAGAAAGTGGAGCAATATTCTCACCAAGCCGAGCAACAGCCTAGAACAGCCTCAACCTATACAAGTGACCTCGTAAGCATGCTGCTGATGCTGGACAGGTTTTCAGTGGGTGCACAATAAACGGCAACATACAAACTGTTATTAGCTATTGCTTGAATATTGTATACATTGTGCACATTCATTTAATGCATAAAGTCTAATGAAAGTCAGCATGTCAGATATGTCAAATTTAGAGAAGAAAATCAGGGATGATAACAATACTAATATTTTTTTTAATATTTAATTTATAAATATAATCCCCAAGAAATGATCATATAACAGTAATAATAATAAAATAATAATTAAGTAAATAAATAAATACAAATATCTTCCCTTAAAAACAATAAGGAAGACGTCCTGACTCAGATATCTGCTTTTCAACCACGTCATCTTACATTCAAGTGCAGAAAGAATAGTGTCAACTAAGATAACGTCTGTATGTCCGTCTGTATGTCCGTCTGTCTGTGTGTGTGTGTGTGTGTGTGTGTGTGTGTGTGTGTGTGTGTGTGTGTGTGTTCTCACTCCGGCAGCTCTTCCCGTCTCTCTGCAGCATGCCGGTCACGCAGCTGCAGACAGGTCCGCTCGACTTGCTGCTGCAGATCTGCTCACAGCCGCCGTTTCCAAACTCACACCAATCTGACTCTGAGGGCGATACATTTGAGACTTTAGAATACAGGGAAAGTCAGAATTCTCCCAAAAAAAAGTCAGAATACTGAAATTGTACAAATTTGAAAAAAGTACAAAAAACTGAAAAATATAAAGATTCTAAAAAATTCCTCAAATAAAGTCAAAGGTCTCAATAAAAGTCCTAAAAAATTATTCCATTCGCATTCTCACTCCAGTCCAACTCTGAGGGGATGACACATGTGAATCTTTAAAATACAGGAACAAAATCTGGATTCTTTTAACAAAGTCAAAGTTCTGAAAAACACAAAACAAGTCAAAAAAATCTAAAAACTACTGAAAAAAAGTTAACTATTGAAAAAGTAAAAATTCTGACAAAATAGTCAAAATTCTAGAAATAGTCAAAAAATCAACATTCTGTGAAAAAGTAAAAAAAATAATTAAATGAGTCAAAATTCTGAAAAAGTGAAAAATTCTGAAAAAAAGTTAACATTCAGAAAATAAGTCAAAAATCTGGGGAAAAAAATCAAAGTTCTGAAAAATGGTCACAACATTTTTATATAAAAGGTTCCAAAGTTCAACGTCCAAAACATACATAAAATGTTTGTTGTGGAAAAATAATACATGTGTTTAATTATAATATGCTTTGCTTTGAGTCCCCTGCAGAAGAATAGTAAACAAACTTTCAAAACCTGAACTGATTTGACTCACCTCTCCTTCTGATGGGCCCCACACTCAGAATGTGCTCTTGATGGTTACCTTCCTCTGAGTACATCCTTCTTTTGTGAGGACAGTTCTGTGTACACAACATAATATCACATTAATGCAGCAGACAAAGTTTCATAACCTTTATTAAAACACAACAACATTTGAACAAGTCCTCACCACTTTGCAGGCGCTAGTTTCCGAGTCGCACAGCGTGACGTCGCAGTGGAGATGAACCTCGTCGTAATCTCCGATGAATTTGAAGACGGTGACGTGGAAACGGCAAGTCAACGACACGCCGTTTTCTGCCATCCCGATGGTGTTGTCCTTGATGTTCGGACACCTGGAGAGAGTGAAGAAGATTTACTTTACTATTGTGTTTTTCAAAAAACGATTGTTAAAATGATATTGAACCTTTTTTTAAATAATAAAAATATATGAAAAGATTTATTTTCAAAAAAAGATATTTTAAATAAATCTAAAGACGGATTGTGGAATGAAAACCTAAAATAAAAGATATTTTAAATAAACCTAAAGACGGATTGTGGAATGAAAACCTAAAATAAAAGATATTTTAAATAAACCTAAAGACGGATTGTGGAATGAAAACCTAAAATAAAAGATATTTTTAAAAGCATAAGAAGTAAAATATGTAATACAAGTGCAAAAAATATTTGTATGGACATAAGAAGTTCAAGTAAGAATTGGTAAGAAAGAATAAGTTAAAGTTTTTAAATAATAATAAATTATGATATTCATTCAAGTAAAATTTCCACTAAATGATTGCATTTAACTTTATTGAATACAATTATTTATAGCTATTTATCATCACACCACAAGATGAATCAATGTTTGTGATGCTAAGCTCTACATTGTGTGTGTGTGTGTGTGTGTGTGTGTGTGTGTGTGTGTGTGTGTGTGCGTGTGTGTGTGTGTGTGTACCCTCTCTCGATGATGATGTAGCGCAGGCGGTCGCTGCTGTATCGTGACGGCGTCGCCCAGCACATGTTGACGATGAGGATAAGCTGGTTCTCGTCGGCTCCCTCGACGAAGACTCCGACGAAGAGGATGTCCCGCGTGCTGAGCACCACTTCACCCTCTCTGTAGGGGTTTCTGTACGAAGAGTTCTTATACAGAGCCATCTTCGTGACAAAGTTCCCCTCCTGAGTCGGTAGCGTCAGGTTTATCACACTGCAAGGGGGGGGGGGAATGAAGCCGGGGTTTGAAATCACAAATAATATTTAGTTTTGTTGAAATTGAACGGATTCAAATCTGTTCAAAAAACAGATGCTACATTTAAGAATGAAAACAATTATGATGATAACATTTAAATTAGTATACATTCAAATAAATATAGATCCAAAATATTGTTTTAAAAGTCAAAATTCTGAAAATAAGTCAAAGTTTTGAAAAAAGTCGTAATTTAGCAAATATTAAAAAATTCTGAAAAAAAGCCAAATTCTGAAAAAAAGTCTAAACTCTGTAAAAAAAAAAGTCAAACTACTGAAAAAAAAGTCAGAATTGTGAAAAAAACACATTCTATAAAAAAAAGTTGAGATTTAGAAAATATTTCAAATTCTGAGAAAAAAATCTGAGAAAAAACCCTGAAAATTCGATAGAAAAATTAAGATTTTGAAATTAATTCAAAATTCTGAAAAACTATATTAAACATTAATAAAGTGTCGGACCTGAGCATGGGCTTGAGGACGGTCTCCAGGGAGATCTTCAGGTCCAGCTCGTAGGCGCAGGAGAACTCAACGTTGATGGTTCGGTCTCTCGTGATCACGTTCCCCGTGTTGTTCACGCTCTCAATCCACACCGTGTTCTTATACATGATGTGGGTCCCGTTAGACTGTCGAAAAACACATTTAAACTCAAATTATAAGTATATATTTCACTGGAGAACATCTTACATTTTGGGAAACATTGCTTCAGAGTGAAATTAGAGGTTATTATTAATCTCATGTCTGTGTGTTAAATACAGAGCTGTTAGCTTAGCTTAGCATGGCCTAGCATACACCTCTAAAACTTACCAATAAATGTATGCATTTCATAAATAAAATCAATAAACACACAAATTATTATTATCCTATCCTATATTTAATTTGGTGTTCGAACTTCTTGTGATTAGATATATTTTAATTTATTATTACATGTTTGGTTTGGTTCTATTTTAGTTTGTCTGTTTCATCTGAAGTGTAGGTCTTTGTATTGTATCATATTTTTGCGTTGAAAAAAACAACTTGATACTTCGTCCTGCAATGTCCATATTTAATGATATATTTTAATATAATATAATATTACAGAAAATGATGTTACATCCAAGTTTTAAAGGCTTTATTGACATTTGCATAAAGGTTGTTGGAAATCAAAATGTTAAGTCCCTCTAATAGTGAAACATACAATATACATAAGACAACAAATAAATAAAGTAATTGAATAGTGCAAGAAAAAAGCAGTATGTTTTTTATATACCAATTCATGTTTGATTAATTGTCTGAGTACATTATTAATAAACAGATGAATATATCATCACCTGTACGATGGATCCGCAGTGGCCCTTGGTGTTGTTGATGTGGAAGGAGATGAAGTCTTCACCCTCGATGCCTCCGCAGTGCTCGTCGTTGATCCGGACGTCTTCCCGCTCGAAGCCCAACTGGAAGAGCTTACACTTTGAGATGGAGACCTCCATCTTAGTGTGTTTACAGGTCACCTCCGCCTGAATGATGTCATCATCACCTGCAGAGACACACACACACACACAATTTAGTTGATTTAAAATGAATGGCATTGCTTCCGCTAAGAAAAAGTAGTCCGTCCCACTTCTGGCGAAAGATAAAAAACCTCTAGAGCAGGGGTGGCCAACCAGTCAGAGGTTAAGAGCCACATTTTTTCTATGTTACTGCAAAGAGCCACATCAAACACACAGTCACTGATACCGCTTGTTTCAGTTTTTTGTTTTCTGGAGACAAGATTTCAACCACGTCACTGATGCATTTTTGTGGCATTGGGATATATATTTTTAAAATCCTCTGGAGCAGAGAGAGGAGCTGTGGATTATTGTTATTGATTAATGCATCAGTGTTTCTTAGGGTCAAAAACACTAAACTCACAACTTCAAATGAAAGCGTTTAGTTTATTTAATAAAAGAGCACATGTTCAATGTGAAAAGTGACAGTAGTTATAGATTATTTGCAATTTGGTGCTATATATATATTTTTTTTTAAAAAAGTATATATATATTTTTTTTAAACACCTTGAATTTCAGGAGGGCGCAGGGCTCCGTTGGCGGGGCTCCGTTGGCGGGGCGCAGCGCCCCTCCAAGACAATGGCAGGGGAAATACTGGATAATGTTTCATCAACGATAGGTTTTCCCCCCCCTCAAAGGTGATTGGTTCACTGCATCGCAGGTATTATTGTGATTGGCTCTTGGGCCACATCAAAATTATACGCGCTGTCATCCTCTCATACTGACACCACACATACACAACATACATAACACGGGACGAAAGTAACGGAGCGATTTTATCCGAACCCAAACAACTTTGACCGGCCAAATTACGTCAGAATTATCAGCATTCAATACTTAACAGACCTACTAAATATCAGGTTTAACTGTCAGGAGTAGCTGGTGTTGTCACGATACCAACATTTTGGTTTTGATACCAAGTCAAGAATTGCGATTCCGATTCTTTTTCGATATTTTCTTAAAAAAAGGGAAACAGTCTTAAATGTAATTATTGTGCTTTATTTCACACCAGAACCATAACCATAACACAAACGTTTAAACAATGAGAACAATAAATAAAATAAATGACAAGAATTCGTATTAAATACAATTAATAAATGTCTTACAGACAGGCCTCGTGGTGTCCGTAGGCTTGCCCTCACTGTCAGAGATATCGCTCAAATACTTCCAAATTTCGCTCCTGGCGTCTTTTTTGTCAACAAGCCGAGGCGCAGCGGCAGTTGCACTCCCACTTGCAGCCATACTTCTCGTTTTCTCAGATGCTCTGGCAGCTAGCGCGTGCACGAGAGAGGGGAGGCACTTAGAGCGTGCTTGAGAGGGGAGGGACTGCAGGCACGGCTGCAGTGCAGGGAGTGGAAGCAGAGCGCTGATCATACACGGCTCTTATTAAAACGGCGCTTTCTCACCGGAGTACTTTTCCCCGTCATTCTTAAAGTACCGATACTAATGAAACGGAGGAATCGTAACGTTTTTAACGGCAGGGTATCGCGGTACCTTTCAAGTATCGGTACACCGTGCAACACTAGTAAGGAGTCAGTGTCTCTCCCCCAAACTCACACATATAAAATTCGATATGAACTGAAGAGCCGCATGAAACTAGGCAAAGAGCCGCATGCGGCTCGAGAGCCGCGGGTTGGCCACCCCTGCACTAGAAGGTTCAAGGTATTCAATAAGAATCGAGTATTCAACTAAGCCGTGTAATACAGGATATTTAAAGTTCTACTATTATACTATTTGTAGGCCTACATAGGTCTGCTGCTGGCCACGCTCCTTTGGAGCATCCGCATGCAAGCAGTGAGCTCTGTGAAGAGAGTGATTGAACGCCATATTATGTTCCAAACCACATCAAGCATTATTTCTTAAACAGTTTGGAGCTCAAAGGCTTTCTCTCGCTGGTTTACCACAAGGTGAGTTCCTTTTTTTATCCTGCTTCTTTACAGATAGGCTACTCTCTCCAGTACAGGTTAGCTCTGAGTGTTAGCAATGCTAATGTAAACAAAGACCATATTACTTCCAAAACACGTTGCACATTGTTTCTGATAGCAAAGTTTCTGATAGGCCCGTGGGTGTAAAGCCCGCCCACATATTGGTAATGACGTCATTACGCAGCAAATCTGGATCAGCTCCGTTGTTCCCCCGTTTTTAGAGATGTGGGTACGGAGGAAAAGAGAGAGGGTTGTATTTGTATTGTATTACACACCAGGGACACATATTTAAGTATAAAAGACATCAGAAAGGGCATTTTGCATAATATGTGACCTTTAAAATTAAAGTAAAACACGTAAAATATTGGGATAGAATGCAAAAATTATCCCAGTAGAGATTTTCTTTTTTCTGTAATGACGGGCTCGCTGCACATTAACCCATTACGTGTGGCTAACAGGACACGGTTAGAGCAAGCGATGGATGATTTGCCGGTTTCGTTGCTCACCGCCGGTGCTTGTGGGTAACTCCGGACAGCCGCACAGGTCTCCTCCGTTCTCCAGCTCGCAGGTGAAGTTTGTGCAGATCTCTCCTGCACAGGGGTCGTAGATCCATTCTGCTAAAGACAGGTCCACACACAATGTTAGCTGTCACACACGCTGTTAGCTGTCACACACACTGTTAGCTGTCACACACACTGTTAGCTGTCACACACACTGTTAGCTGTCACACACATTGTTAGCTGTCACACACATTGTTAGCTGTCACACACATTGTTAGCTGTCACACACACTGATAGCTCCAGTTAGCATGCATTCACTAAGGGGACTCAAAGAGACGAACACAATACTACCCACCATTATTATGGAAGTCAGTGTCCTCTTAAGGTCCAAGATAGACATAGTTGTGTGTGTCGTTGTATTTGTGTGTCCTCACAAGTTGCATTTAAAGCAGGTCTACAGCCTTAGAGAAAACCCCCAGATATGTAAGTCTTCCTAGAAGCATGGAAATTAATCACTTTGATTCCCAGGTCTGTAGGACTTTGGGAAAGATGAGTCCCCAATCATCACTTTGTTTTTGCTAGTCCTGATATATCATGTAAAAGTGTATGTGTGTGTGTCCTCACAAGTAGCATTTAAGAAAAGTCTACAGCCTTAGAGAACATCTCCACAGATGTAAGTCTTCCTAGAGTCATGGACATTATTTACTTTGATTCCCAAGTCTCTAGGATGTTGGGAAACACGTGTCCCCATTCGTCACACCTTTTTACAAGTCCTGATATATCCTGAAAATATGTATGTGTGTGTGTGTGTGTGTGTGTGTGTGTGTGTGTGTGTGTGTGTGTGTGTGTGTGTGTGTGTGTGCTCCAGGAGGCTGGTGCCCTTACAGCAGTTCTCCTGGGTGATCCACTTGGTGGTAAGGGTCCCCATGGAGCGGCAGGCCTCAGCGTAGGCAGCCAGCGAGCCGCACACCTGGGCCTTCTGGTGGTTGTAGCAGCCGTCCAGGTAGCAGGACTGGTAGAAGGGTCTCGGGTCCAGAAGCCCGTGGCACGGCTGGAAGAATCCCTTCGGCTGGGTCAGCTTCTGGCAGGCGTCCTCGCTCTGCAGAGCCAGAACCGCCGTGTTGTCGCAGGACTGAGCCAGAGCTACGAACTGGGTCTCATCACAACTGCAGGAGGAGGAGAAACATCAACCTTATGGTTTAAATCAGGGGTGGGGAACCTTTTTCCTCTCAAGGGCCATTTCAATTTTTTCAACATCCTCCGAGGGCCGTACAAATTATTGACGTCTGCTTAAAAATACTAAAATCACAGCCCATTCATTTGGCCATTCTTTCATTCTGTGCAAAGAAAAAGCAACCTCTGAATCCAGATATCTCACCATGACTCGCGCATGCATGCACGTGCACGATTGTGGCATGACCACCAAAACAGAAAGATATGGGCACAAGATGTGTGCAATTTAGTTTCCTATCCATGTGAACATGATTTAAGTGGGGGGGGGGGACCTAACCTCCTCTAGGGGGGTCCGGGCGGCATGCTCCCCCGGGAAGATTTTTTTTTAAATGTAGAAGTGAAAAGCATCAATCTGTTGCACTTTGAGAGCAACATGAAGAGATCTATGGATACATCTCTCAACACCCAGATGAAACAGAACTGGAAGCAGATTTATTTTTCTTTATGGATATTTTACAAATCACTCCTCTTTCAAACTGTATTCTTGTTTATTAATAACAACTTTTTTTTACTGTCATATAGTATTTTATACCTGTTTACTTTATTCTCTTATTTTTGTATAACTATAATGATCATATAAAGATGTGCCTTTACCTCACTGGTTGGAGAAAAAGCTTCTTATATATTCGTTAGCATAGCTAGCTAACCAGATGCTAATAACAACAAAGTTATTGACTGTATGATCAGTATGACAGATGAACAGATCGCCACTGGGCTTTCAACTAAAGACACAGCCACGCAGAAACTGCGGCATGTGTATGGGTCCCGCCCGGAGCGACGTCCTGGTGCTCTCCGGCAGCTCTAAACCCCTGTCGGACGAGACATATACCACGTGATGACACGTTAGCCTCGTGTTGTGTTCAAGGACCCTGACCTTGGCCAGGAAAAACAGGCACTCGCTTGTTTAATTATTTTGCGGTCTAGATTTCTTAATTTGTTTTCTTTTTTGCGTGAGTTACCTCGCGGGCCGTATCGAATTGTCTCGCGGGACGTATACGGCCCGGGGGCCGGAGGTTCCCCACCCCTGGTTTAAATGTTTCTAAATCAGCTTCGGTTCATTCATACTACCACTGGTTCAAAAACAGAAACATGAAATGTAGCCTGTCAATGACACAATGGGAGATCAGCAATGCTAGAAACAACAATAATAAAAGTTTATCAAAAGACAAATCTATAACCTACCTTAGAAACATATTTTTAAAAGGGTTCAATCGTAAACAAAAAGGGTTTTCTGATTCCTTCTCGCTCTAAACTCTTTTATTGGCACTTAAACATACTGAATCATCTTGTGTTTTGCAACAAAATTAGTTTATCTTTTCTTACATTGATATATTTTCGATTATCCCAATAATATATAATCACCACAAGCGACAAGCTTCTCTATTTGCTCCTATCCCTAGTACAGTATTTTCCAGTATTTCCTGAGAGCCTCACCCACCTGTTCTGCATACCGTTGGTCTTCCAGCTCTGGGCGAGCTCCAGCGCGCTGACGGCCGGTTTCCCCCTGGATGTGATGTAGTCGTCACCGGGGTCTCCGTTGAAGTTTCCACAGAGTCCGCACACCTTGTTCTGCAGCCGCTGGCCCATCGTGATGCTCAGCGTGTTGAAGCGGTTGTATCGGATCTGGATGTCCTGTGGCGTGTCGATGACGAGGAAACCTTCGGACGTGGACAGACGCGTCATCAGCCCGGTGAGAAACGGGACTGAAATTGGGGTACCGTTCACCTGCGGAGAAACAGCAACATTTGTTAGAAATATTTTACCCTTACATTTTGTCTGTATCCTGGGTTACATTTATTTGGCAGGTCGTGTCCATGTGTACAAAGGGTGTAATAGCAGTGAAGTTACGGTGTAATAGGGGGTAATATTGGTGTTACATGGGTGTAATATGGGTAAAATAAAAGTCTAATCACAGTGCAATATGGGTCTAATTACAGTGTAATTATGGTGTATTATGAGTGTTGCATGGGTCTAATAACGGCTTAATAACAGTCTAATTATGGTGTGATATTGAGTTAATATTGGTGTTACATGGGTGAAATAGGGGCTTAATAACTGACTGATCCAACAAATATTGGAGACTAAAACAATATGTACTCGATCCCCTCTCACCTTGACCGTGCTCCCAGAGATGAGGATATTCTCCTCGTTGAGGTAGAGGTAGACGTGGGAGATGGTGGTGAGGTTGGGCGTGCTCCACTTATCAAAGTTGGCGATGAGTTGGAAGGAGAGGTCGGGCAGCTTGTGACAGTTTGTGGAAAGGACGAAGGAGCAGGAGGCCGGGAGGCGGAGCGAAGCACCGTCGAAGGTCCTGAAAACCCCCCCTCCCGAGGCAACGCAGTGTTGGGAACGTCGAGCGAAACATCCACGAACCCCGTAACGTAGCGCACACTCTTCTTCAGCTTTACAACGCCGCGGGTCGCACTGGATCAGGTTTCGTCCGATGCACTGGCAGCGTTTGGTACAGTCAGTGTTCCAAAACAGCTGTTTGGGCTGAAATAAAGAAAGATTTCTGTTAAAACCGAGATGTAATATTAAGTCTGTTTTGTCTCCGAGATATATTCTGTGACCAAAACAGAGCTAAAATGAGTGTAAAAGTTAACTAAGGGTATTCATTTTTCTTCATAGTTAGAAAATGGGTCATCCACACTATTCCTGTACTTTCCTGGTATTCCTGGTGCATTTAAAAACTGATTCAAAACCATTTTGAGTCATGAAAACTTTATACAAAACATAAAAATCCCTAACTTCCAACAATACATTTTAGGTTCAAGTGTTCTTAAATTTGTCAGCCGGATAGAAACATAACCTGAAATGATTGTAAACAGTTTTCCGTTGACATTGTTTTGAGTTAACTCTGCATCTTTGCAGCTAAAAGTCAGTATGGGAGAGGGAGGGTGGAGACCAAAACTGAGCAAAATTGGCTGTAAAAGGTTGACTTAAATTTGTCAGTCGGACTGAAACGGAACCTGAAATGATTGTAAATGTTTCTTTATGCTAAATACAATGTTATTCATAGATAGAAAAGAAATACAACTTCACCTCTAGTAAATGGCACTAATAGAGTGTTAACTTTAAACTTGATCTCCCAGTTAAGTAAGATAATTTGATTGCAACGTTGTAACACCAGTCTGATTTGGTGTTTAGCACTAAAAAGCCAGTTTTGTCACTGAGTTTCTTCCATGTGGTGCTGGATGTGAGACTGACCTCATAGTACTTGCCATCAGTGTAGCAGCCACAGTTCTGCGGCAGGATGCAGCTCTTTCCGTTTAGAACGTAACCCGGGTCGCACTGACATCCCTCCACACACTCATGACTGCAGTCCCTCTGCCCGCGGGCGGGGGCGCACTGCGGCGGGCACACCGACACACAGCTGGAGTAATGGCTGTTCGGGGGACAGCTCTGAACTGGGACCACACAGGGAGGAAAGACGTTAGCAAACGATTACACTGAATACAATAAGTGTGGTCCGATAAGTCAAATGTCTAAAAGCCCGATGGATGGAGCTCTCATAACGGTGTAAGAGTTGAGTGAGAGATGCTGGACTATTCTCACACTCAACTACATAACGTCTTATCAAAGGTGAACTTTTTTGGGAGTTCTTAGAGACGTCAGATAAACACTTCTCTTTCAGAACTCTTATTTTCCCCAAAAAAATCTGAAAACAATTCTTGGAGACTAAAAAATATTCAAAAAGAAAGCATCTTGAGAAGAAAAACCTTTTTAGAATTGTTTTTTGAAGAATTCAGATTTTCAGGGAGAAAAAAATAGAAACTTATATTTTTTTACTGAATTCTGGTATTCAGGGAAAAAAATTAGAAACAAATATAAAAATAAAGCTTTATTATTATCATTTTTTGCAAGCTGCAAAGATGAGACATAGCTGCAGTTCCCAGACTCACCACAGGGGGTGTCGCTCCTCCAGCCGCTCACAGGAACCCCTTGTGTCAGACACGTGGTGGCGTACATCCCGAGCCAGTTGCACACCGTCTCCTGCGACCCCTGGTCCAGACAGGTGTCCTGCAGGCAGCTCTGATAGAAGAACGCCGGCGCCACCTTGCTGTGGCATCGTGCAAACACACCTCCTCGATCCACAATCAGCCCGCATAACCTCACAGCCTCGGGCTCCACGTACACATACAGTCCGTCTCCCATGTGGAAACGAATGCCAGTTTCCACTTCATTCGCCGCGTTTTCAGCATCCAAGTTTGCGTCCGCCACCATGAGAGGAGCGTCGTTCAGCGAGCTGGTTTCTCCGAGGCCACATCGAGGGCACGAGTCTCCGCAGCCCACCTTTTATTTGATTTTTTGTGTTAGTCAATTCATTGAACATATCAGAAACAAAACATACAACAATACATTCTCAAATAGTCTCTGTCATGTACAACGGGGGCAAGAAGAAGCTTAAAAACGTTCCTGGTCCCTCTAGCATACATTTTTCTTGAAAATAAAAGATTAGGTCATCTTCATCCGTGATATTGGATTCATGGATTCATTGATTGCATTATATTTGTTACTGGAAAGTTGTATTTTCCACATCCACGTATATATGTTTTTTTCTTTAAATTTTAACGCTATTTTATTTCTATTTCAGAAATATTTTGGACTGTTTATTTCTTGTGTCTTAATTTCTCTTATTTACATTGCCTATCATTGTTTTCTTGGCGCGAGATGTTTATTCAGCGCCACTCTACGGCAAGAACATATCAATATCGGCAAAAACTAATTGATACGGTTTGTTTCACCAAACTACGAGTCAATCGGATTAAAACTGTATGAGTTAATGGTTTTGGTGCGAACACTGAAAAGGGCAAAAGTTGAAGATTCAAAAAATGATGGCAGACTTCCTGTTGGGTTTACGATATGCCTCGTGCTGACTTTTCTCTGCTTCCCATCATGCTACATATATCTACCGAGTTTCAGATTTGTAGGTGAAAGCACAACCAAACGCTGCTTGTTAGGGGGCGCTATAGAGCCATTTTGTGTGCGCCACTTATGAAACCCCCAATAGAAATATATTTACACCTGACCCGACAAGTGTCTTTTAAGCATTCTAAGGCCCTCAAAAAGGCAATTCATTTGGTAGAAAACAATTATAATAAAAATAATTCCAAGGATTACAATAGGTCTTCGCCTTCGACTTTCAGGCCCTAATAACTTTTACAATGACAAGAAATAACAAGTATGAGTTGACAGGTCCTGCTCACCTGGCAGAAGGTGTCCCTCTCGGCCCACGCCATGCCCCAGTCGGTGGTGGTGAGGGTGGGGGGGGATAAGGGCATTCCCTGGCAGAGGCCACAGGAGGAGTTGAAGAGGTCGCGGGGTAACGTCAGCAGCAGCAACGTGTTCCAGTCAAACGCCACCTTCAGGCCGAAATCTGTCTCCAGAATGAGCTGCATGCCCCACGAGAAGATGTGGATCTTCCCCGGGCCGAGCTTCAGAGGCAGGTACAAACGCTCCTTATTCACCTGAGAGAGGAGAATCAGAATTCCTTACTTACAGTTCGAGATTGAAGGCTTTATTGTCATTAGCAACGCAATGAACAACAATGAGAAACTGAAGTCACAGGCTCCTCCAACAGTGCAACATATATATAGGACATAGAAGAAATAGAAATACATGTTAGACATAGAACAAATAAAACAGATAAAATAGTGCAAGACAATGTTTAGAGATGATATATAATCATTTAAAACATATAGTCTTATACTCTGATTGCCTTTTACTCTGTGAAATTGTATTTCTTGTCTGGTATGTGTTTAACAGAGGCACATGTTGAGGAGTTAAATTTCAGGAAGGTAAAGGAAGTTAAACACCTGAACTTTTGAAAGAACATCCATAACATTCATCTGTTTGCAACTTGCAAATTATTTAACTAATATATCATATTCAAACTACTTGTATATAGACCCTCCTTGCACTATTTATATTCTATTTGTCTATCTTAACTATTTTATCTGCTTTATTGTGTTGCACTGTTGGAGGAGCCTGTGACATGTCTACCCTGTAGCTATGTACACATGACAATAAAAGCCTTGAATCTTGAAAAGTGTAAAAGCTGGATTTGCAAATGGTTAAGGACTGGGAGGTTTTATGGTTTAATGATGGGATGGAGGACCAGTTGTTTCTAGGGATGCACGATAATTATCGTTCCGATATTAGGAATTATGACGTCATCCCGATAAACCCGATACCAGTATTAATAGCCCCGATAATATACAATATATTTTTTGGGTAAAAAAAAAGAAAAAAATACTGCGGTGTGGGTGGATTGGGATGAGAGGCGCTTGTTTTTCACTCGGCTCCTCCCGTTTTACCAGTACTGTGGTATTAGTGGTCTAGGAAGAGTGGAGTTCTTCACAAATCCAGCGCTCCCTAACTCATGCCTGGCTGTGACGTAAATGGTGTGCAGCCGTGAAGCCAGGACAGTAAACAAACATGTCGTCGGTGGTATGGGCGTTGGAGCTATGTGCAACTCAAGGCATATGCTCGAACCGGAGCTGCCTGGACGCTGCAATCATGAGTGTGCTGACTTTTCGTACAATGTCCCACTGTCTGGCTTCCTGCATAAAGTCAAGTGCTCGGCGCAGTTGTGGCGAAATGTCGCTCCTCTGTTTTCATTTAAACAGCTCCGTATATCCGTTAGCGCAGCTAGCTAGCACCAGATGCTAACAACAACAATGCACGTAAGGTCTCTCTCTCGCTCGCTCGGGCCACACATACACACACCCTCCCGGTCCTCCAGATGGCCAGTCGGTGCCTGCCGGTGAGCGTGGAAGTGTGGTCTGCCGCAAGCGGACGGCAGGAGCGGGGCTGTCAGCATCAGCTTGTAGATGGTATTTTAAACTCGATGCGCTCTGAAACTACGGGGCGGCCAAGGAAAAAAAATACACATGCGTTAATCGCGTTAAAATAATTAGTGGCGTAAACAATTTTTTATTATCGGTTATCGGTTTCAAAAAACCAATATCGTGCACCCTAGTTGTTTCCTTAATGAATATATAGAGAGACTGTAAGCAGAACTTCTCTATCCTCTGAGGATGAAGCTTCTCTGTTCCTGCATTTGGGATCGTTTTCAATTGTATATTTACTTTCTTTATTACTTTATTAAATATACAAAAATACAAACTTTGTCCATGAATCATTTATCAGTTTCTCTTAAAGTGGACCTATCATGCTATATAAGGCATATTTATACTTTTTATTTTTCAAAATACCAAACGGATCATGCATTTTAGCCATTCCTCATTTCGCTCAATTTAACACAGTCTTTGCACGGGCTGATTCTGTGAGAACAGCACCACCTACAGGCCTGGCATATGTACTACAGCGTCTCCAGCGCGTTCGAACGGCAATGTCCGTGGCTGTCTCCTCCTGATTGGTGGAGTTGGCCCAATAGCCGTAGCGCCACTTCTGTGACGTCATAGAAGTGTTCAAATCTGGATCAGTCTGTATCAGATCCGTTGCAGCCCCTTTTTAAGAGATTTGGGTATGGAGGAAAAGAGAGAGGGTTGTGTTTTCTGACACTTGGTGAGTTCCCTGGAACACCGGGGACACATGTTCATGTATAAAAGACGTACAAAAGTGCATTTTGCATGATAGGTCCCCTTTAAGCATTTCCTCCACAAGGAGAATCAGAATTCCTTTATGAGTCCCACAGCGGGGGAACTTACAGTGTCACGGCAATAGTGGCATTGCAGGTAAAAAAGGCAAGCAATAATCCAAAAGAAAAGTACACATTAGTGAAAAAACATGGCTTAATGATGAGTAGCAGCAATTTAAAACGACTTAGTGACATAAATAACAATAATGAGACCTTATAAAAATGTATGTTGTTACGCTATTGTATTATTCACCTGAGTGAGGAGAATCAGAATTCCTTCATTAGACCCACAGCGGGGAAACTTACAGTTCAAGATTCAAGGCTTTATTGTCATGTGCACAGAAGCTACAGTGTAGATATGGCAATGAAAAACTTAATTCACAGGCTCCTCCAACAGTGCAGCATGAATATATATAGGACATAGAAGAAATACAACTGATAAAATAGTGCAAGAGAATGTTTTGAGATGTACAAGTAACTAAAAATAAAATAGTGTCACAGTAATAGTGGCATTGCAGGTAAAAAAGGCAAGCAATAATCCAAAGAAAAGTACACATGGCTTAATGATGAGCAGCAGCAATTTAAAACTACTAAGTGACTTAAATAACATATTTAAGTATTGAGACCTTTATAAAAATGTATGTTTTTACGCTATTGCACACTACAAAGTGTTTATATTGCACATTGCAGGTTTATTGCACAATATTGCAACGTTAAACAGGGGCTAAGAGAGATTCAATAAAACGACTTATTGTTGGAGGATTAGCACACTCTCCTACGGAAAGCCTGTTTCGCACGTCTGAGCAACAAGTATGAGGGGGAATCCCGGTGTTGAACGGATGTGATTAAGACTCACTGAAAGAGTGTTTCTCATATAATCTAATTCTATGAGAGAATGAAAAAATGGTGTGTGTGTGTGTGTGTGTGTGCGTGTGTGTGTGTGTGTGTGTGTGTGTGTGTGTGTGTGTGTGTGTGTGTGTGTGAGCATTGTGTCATTTCTATTCCTCCTCAGATCTTTGAGTCGGTTTGTGAACCCGGTCCAAATGTCGCTCAGGGTCGGGGGTTCTGAGCCAAATCCAGCCTGATAAAAGATGCCTATTGAAATTAGATCCACCTTAAGCCAATCAAAGAGGAATTCACCCTCTGCCCGGTTATTCAATCGGCTTGATTCGAAATAAAATGTCCTCAAATGTCTTCAAATAAAACCACAATGACTTTCAGAGGGCCATGTTTGAAAATGGCTTTAACATAAATATCTATATCATGATACAGTAACCAAAATATTAATTAACTCACCGTGAGCTTTGAGACGCTTTCAATCTTATTCTTGTAGACCTCCAGTTTTTTGCATATTTTTTATTTTTGAGATTCTGAAATGTGTTAGAATTTAAGCTTTTTAAATTCTGAGAAAAAAAATCATTTATTTGTTCACATGTGGCAGTAATCGTCTTTCATACTTTCACAATGTAAGTCAATAGGGAAAGTATTTTTGGACCAAATGATGTCGCAGACTGAAATTGAAGTTGTAGTACCACCGTTTGGCTTAACGACAAATAGATTAGTGTTTCACCCAATTGGGAAAATAATAATAAAAATGTCCTCTCACTTATCTCTATTGGAAACTAGCCATGCGCATTTTGAAATATGGTTTTAAGATAAGTATTCATATCATGATACATTTTCCACAACAGTTACTCACCGTGACAGTGTTTTTGTAGCTCCGAGACACTTCAATCTCATACTCGTAGACCTCCAGTACAAAGCCCCTCACCCAGATTGCCTGGCCTGTGTCTCTTTCCTCGTTACGAGCTGCCAGTTTGAACTGAGGAAAAGCCCCACCGATGGTTTCCTGACCCGTGTTTTCTCCCCCACACACCGTGGTGGCCATCTTGAGAGTACAAGAGCTCTGCAGGTCAAACGGGACGCTACCAAACGGCAGGAAGTGTCCGTAACCCGCCGCCACGCACAGGGCTTCGGTGCGGGGAAAGCAGAAGTACAGGTCGTCGTCTTCCTGGCAGTATTCCTCGGGGTTGCAGGGAGCGAGCTGACAGTAAACGCTGTTGTCGGAGCCGTTGCAGTAGCAGCGTTCCTGACATTCCCAGTCCGTCCAGAAGGTCAGATTCGTGGCGAGCGTTCGGCCGTGGCTCATGCAGCCGCAATCACTGCGCGCCACGCAAAGGCCATCTCGAAGAGCAAATCCTTCCTCACACTGACAGCCCTCCTGACAGGGCAGAGGGCACGGCTCCTCGGGGTCGTCGAGGTTGTCACAGGTCAAAGGGCAGGCGCTGGTGCACTCGTCAAAATGGCTGTTCGGTGGACAGGGAAGAGCTGAAACACAAGAGAGAAGGAAAATCATTGTACGATTAAAAGGTGGCTTTGAAGAGTTTTTTTTAAAGGTAACCGGTTTTTCCCTCTCCTGTAGTGTGGTATATAGGTTTGTGTGGATGTAAATGGTCTGCAAAGGCTAAAATCCATGTGGTCCTTTGTTTACTTCCGGAACATAGTTCTCTATTGGCTAGTGATGGCTTAAAAAAAATCCTGATTTGGGATTAATAAAGTATACGTATCTTAAATTCTATTCTATTTAAACCTTTAAAGAAAAAATTAAAGGGGTGACATTTATATTTTATGGCTTCCAAAGGAGGAGCACCTGTAGAGGAAGTTAAATACTGGTATTTTTGTGGATCTACTACAGAAACAAGAAGCTGAAAGCAAACTAGCTAGCCAAGAAGGATGGGCCTACAACCCAATTCCAAGTCTGTATGTTGTATGTTTGTATATTTGAGTTGTTAATCTGTTAATGAATATAAAACCTGTACAGATATTGTTGAAGAAAGGCTTTCTTGCTAGTTTTATGTTTAGACAAAAAATGTTGAAGGGATTCTTTTAATGTTTTTTTTATCTCCGTTTTGGACTGATTGATGATAATCCAAATATATAAAGATAAGTGAACTCACGGCAGTTGGTGACACTCCTCCAGGACGCGAGGCCTACTTGAGCGTCCTGACAGGCGCTGGCGTACGCCTGCAGGGACGAACACAGCACTGAACGGTTCCCTTCCTTCACACACATGTTATACAGGCAGTTCCTGAAGAATGGCGAGGGGTTCACCACTGCGTGACACGCCAGAAATGAACTATTCCCCGGGTCGTTGATGTTGCCACACATCCACGGATTCTGGTAGAGACGCAAGTCCGTGCACATTCGATAAAGATCGTCGCAGTCGCCGTTACACGTGAGATCATCGGCGATGGAGCGCCATCCCTCCGTGAACTGCTCAGTAGAGTCCGCCAGGCGTCCGTTGGGAAGGCGGAGGTCGTCGGTGGTGTTGCTGTTGAAGACGCCACATAGTCCACATGTGGCGTTGTAGAAGATGGTGGACAGGGAGATGTTGAGGAATCCCTGGCGATTGTACTGGACACGAAGCAGACCACGGGACTCCACCACTGTGGCGTTGCCTGGCGCTTTGTAGATCATCATCGTCTCCATCGGATGGACATATGGGAGCGTCACTGGTTCACCATTCACCTGCAACACAATAATGTCATAATGTCATTTTACTAGGAATTTAACCACATATTGTAAAAGGTTGTTGGTAGTTCAACTACTGTCTCATTTGTGTACTAATTCAAGTATTATTTGGAGTTAACGGCCGGAGAACTGACAAAACGGGTGCTGCCGCCACAAGGTGACAAAGCCAAACCAATTCTGAAGATCTCTAAGTTATGGACCTAGGAAGATATTAGATTTCCCCAACACACAGTGTATAAAATACTAACCTTTACTATGTCAAAATCGGACCCTCCCATCTGAGCTTCCAGGTTAGCCACTGTAACTACCACAGGTCTTTTCCACGTTGGGCCTTTGTTCACAAACCGCCGGCCCATCTTCACCTCCACCATGGAGCCGTTAGCTGGCACCGGACTGCACAGCTTCAGCAGGTAGTAGGAGCTGTCATCTGGGAACAGCAGGAAGGTGCCATCAAAGGAGGTGGTCACTGAGTTCTGGGTGATTGAGCACACTCCCTCCCTCCGCGGGTAACAACCCAGCAAGCCCACCTCGGCCACACACACCTCACCCTCCTTGCAGGACGAGTTGAAGCAGGAAACTTCCCCATTTGGCCTGCAGGTGCAACGAAGGGTACATTCACCTTCTTCCCCGCTGGCACCTACCCAGAAAGTGTTATTGAGGGGGTAATAGAGGCCGTTATGCTCACAGCCACAGTCTTCGCGCTGTACACAACTACTCCCGCTGAGAATGTGGCCTGGGTCACACTGGCAGCCCTCGGTGCAAGGGTGGACACAATGCAGGGGGGAGGTGAGGTCCGAGCAGGACGCCGGGCAGGCACTTGTGCACACTTGGTAGTTGCTGTTTTCTGGACAAGTCAAAGCTAAGACCCAGAGAGAGAAAAATAAATCAAGTTAGATGACACAAAGATCACAAATCTGCAAGAACTATTCTGGTTTGAATGCTGAGAACATGCTCCAAAACATATGTTCTTCATCTGTAAACAAATCTGACACGTTTTTTGATTGCCTTCTTCTCACACTTTTTTCTATCCTAGAAGCGCAGTTCAAACATCAAAATGTGCAGCTCAATAAGGACATGCGTGCTATTACTCCGGACATCCATAATTCCAGAAATATTAAACATAGTTCATCGACATTTTACATATAAGTCTTTGCCCTTGTATTACACATCTAAGCCAACATTGCAGTTTAGCGATAGCTTTTCAGCATACATCATTCACACCGCAATTTCCTCAGGTATTGCATTCTCTAGTTAAAGCTGAAACTCACCACAGAAGGTACGAGATCTCCAGGATCGTATGGTGACTCCAAGAGCCTGACAAGCCAGAGCATAGGCTTGGATTGCCTGGCAAAGTGTGGTGATGTTATCCCGGTTGCTGCACATGTCATACACACAGCTATACACAAAGGCGGTAGGGTCCACTACGGCTCGGCAGTCCCTGAAAGGTCCATCGGTTTTGTTAATGAGTCCACAGTAGTCTGGGCGAAAGTAGAAGGCTTCTGTAACGGGATCACACACACTGCAGTTCTGAGCACAACCATCTGTACACCTCCAGTCCGTGTCTTCTGCTCGCCAGCTGCCTCCTAACTCCACCACGCTTTCTGCTAGCGAGCCGTCGGGAAGCACGGGATCATCGGACGGATCGTCGTTATAGTTACCACAAAGGCCACAAGTGTTGTTGAAGTAGGAGCTCGGTAGGGAGATGGATGCATAGTGTTGGCCGTCGTAGGTCACCAAGAGTCCAAAGTCTGTTTCTAAAGCAATGGCAACCCCGGACTGGTATACCTTGATAGCACCAAGCTCGAGTTGGACCGGCAAAGTCTTCATCAAGCCGTCCACCTGGAGAGAAGAGAAGGATGAACAATAAAGCATGATGGTAGAAAACTTGGTCCATTGTCAACATATGCCAATCGAGAATACCATTACTTTCTTGCTCTCCTTTTATCATGACAGAACCTTAAAAACTTGTATCCTGGATCGTCAGAGTGTACTTGGATATTTTGCCAGATACATCCAAGAGCAACTGCCCAAACTACTCTTCCAAGGTGGTCAAAGAAGGACTTGCCTAGCAAAGTATGAATGCAGCCACATAATCTGAATAAACACTCTTGCATCAGGCCCAACAAGAAGGAATCACAAGGCAAACACTGCGATAGACCCTGGTATAAGATAAGATAAGAAGTAATTTATTGATCCCAATTTGGCATTGTACAATATAAATGTAAAAGACTAGAAATAAACAAAAAAGTAGAAAATATACATGTTGAATTTACAAATTAACAATAACAAAAGGGTATAAAAGGGTCTAAAGTGTCTTACCTGGACTGCCCCAACACTGCCTTTGGGTAACATGACTCTGTGTCCGTACACCTCCACTGTCACATCTCTAAGCCAAGAAACCGAGGCCATGCCACGGTTCTCATTTTTGGCCTCCACGCTGAAGAAAGGCAGCCCTGTCACCTCCCAGCAGGGCCGAGCCAGCAGGTAGGAGCAGGTTCCCTGGAAGTGATAGAGGAAGCCGTCGAAGGTATGGTAATGAGGGTCTCCGAAGACCACACAGGTGCTCGTGCGGGTCGGCTGGCAGTAGAAGGCGCCTTCTTGCAGCTCGCAGGTCTCCAGCTGCCCACATGGAGCCTCTTGGCACTGCACCTCGTTGTCAATGTCAAGGCATCGGCATCGCTGGGAACACTGGTCCGACAGCCAGAAGACTTCCCCTCGTCTGTAAAAACGCCCTGGAAAATATGAACGCATGAAAGTACAGTTCTGCATAAGAGAAATGTGTGGTCAAATATTTGTATTGAGAAGAAGCAAACAAGTTTAAGTAATAGTACAGACTTTGTAGGAGCCAAAATGCTGTGGTAGCCTGTGTTTATAGTTATATAATCTTCATTATTTGTTAACACCACACACACTTGTAATTGGTTGTTTCCGGTGATGGTCACATTACATTACATTACATTACATTGCATTTAGCTGACGCTTTTATCCAAAGCGACTTACAATAAGTACATTCGACCAGGAAGACACAACCTTGAAGAAAACAGAATCATATAAGTACATCAGGTTTCATAGAGCCAAACATTTCAAGTGCTACTCAACTGGCTTTAGGTAAGCCAGTCCTTTATTAGTATAAAAGTGCTTCGTTAATAGTTCTAACGCTCGAAGTGGAGTCGAAAGAGATGAGTTTTCAGTTTGCGCCGGAAGATGTGCAAGCTATCTGCCGTCCTGATGTCAATGGGGAGCTCATTCCACCATCCTGGAGCCAGGACAGCAAACCCACGTGTTTTCGCCGATGGGAACTTGGGTCCCCCTCGCAGCGAGGGTGCAGCGAGTCGTTTGGCTGATGCAGAGCGTAGTGCACGCGCTGGGGTGTACGGTTTAACCATGTCCTGGATGTAGGAAGGGCCAGATCCATTCGCAGCATGGTAAGCAAGTACCACATGGGTGTGGTTAATGATATTTAGGGCACCTGGTGTATGTGGAGGTTTGGGTAGCATGACAATGGGGGTGAGCTTAGCTCTGATATCTTTTGTTGACCGTATGATTCTGTTTGTTTATTGTTTTGAGTTACAATATCAAATATTCTTAAAACATCGAGTTCAGTACAGACTTTATTATTTATACGCGTCACATCAATGAGCGAAGTTTAGCCTCAGGACGGCCGTATTCAATGGGAATATAGCCGCCACAGACTTCTTTGGGGTGGAAATCATGCTTCCCTTTTTCAACATAGAAGACAAACATAAAAGCCAACAAGAAATAATAAAGAAAAAACATAGCATGACAGGAATACCATACTTAATGACAGTGGCGAACCGTATTGTTCTGGGTCTCTGGGTAGAATATCCTTCAACCAAGGTATTCTACATCCTTGATCGAATGCCCTGGCCGTTGCACTGAATGAGAGCGTACGTTTGGACTGACAGTTTGATCAACCAATCAGATATTGATTTGTAGCCAATGGGCGTGTTCTTTCAGAGGTTCCCTCGGTTCCAGGGTGCTCTAGAAGGCCCGCTAGTTAACTGGCTCCAGACAGAGGATTTAGATGAATGCAACGAAGCAATTCATGCCGTTTTATTGTTTTTAACGTTGAAATGACAAGTGCAACAGGTGAAGATTAAGTTGTTGCGAAATTGTTGTGAGTTCCCTTTTCTAGACGACAATTCAGTGAAAAGACGGACATTATAACGGTTGTGTGTGTCTACAGAAGGTCCAGTTGTGATAGACACGGTTTGCGACATACATAGTCATAGTGGGAAAGAACATACAAAATAGTATATATGTGGTCAGAATGATTAAGTGTTAGATGTTTGAACTTGCCATTAAAGCTGCAACCATTGGCAGGATTGATCAGTTCAGTGTCGACGCGGAATAACCAGCGCCCGGGCGTGTTCACATTGGTCGTCTGTTCGATGTTCACCACGTCGTTTGACCGAGATCCCGGCAGGTTGAAGAAGTGACCGATGTCTCCACCGTTAAAACCTGACTGGAAAGGGGAAAGGTGTGAGGGACGTGAGGTCAAATGTTTGCTGATGCTAAATCCAAAGCTGTCATCCAAAGCAACTTCAATCAATCATGAAGATACAAACAAAAAAAAAGCAAGAATCCTGAGAGTATTTTAGTTATCAATAACAATAACAGACCCTTCAAGTTGCAGTTGAAACAGATGGGTTTTTACTATGTGGAAGAAATGTAGACATTCTGCTGTCCTGATATCAATGGGGAGCTTGATCTATCATTGTCTATCCTGTCAATTCTATATAAGGAAATGAATTGATTACATATTGTGGGAAAATACTGAATGTCCTCTTCCAGTATGAGAGTAACGTGATAACAAAGGCATCCCAACTGTAGCTGTGTTCATGACAGGATGTGTGATTACCTAGAAGAGCATCAGGACTGTTTGAGGCAGATGATAGCTATGTGATTAACATGATGATTCAGCCTCTATGGAGAGAGACATCAAGCATGCTCATTTCTGACGTGGAGCTAATCTGAAGTAAACATTGAATACTGCTTTCTATTCCTCCATCTTGTGACTGTGTAACTCCCTCTCTTGGATATCAGCATGTGAAGGACACTGTTCAGGAACTAGTTGATGCTCTGTATGTGATGACTCCTTCCATTCTGGAGAGGATCACAGATACATGGATCCTGAGATTGAAGGTGACGAGGGATTATTAACATTAAGTATTCAGAAAAAGTCCGAATTTCGAAAAAAAAAAATAATAATTAGATTTTTGAGAAAAAGTCAGATTTTTGTGATTTTGAGAAAAAGTCATTTTTTTGAGAAAAAGTCAGATTTTTGAGAAAAAGTCAGATTTTGGGGGATTTTGAGAAAAAGTCAGGATTTTGATATTTTGAGGGAAAAGTCAGGATTTTGAGAAAAAGTCAGAATGTTGAGAATTGTGTACAGTACAGGATGTACTGCTTTCTATTCCTCCATCTTGTGACTGTGTAACTCCCTCTCTTGGATATCAGCATGTGAAGGACACTGTTCAGGAACTAGTTGATGCTCTGTATGTGATGACTTCCATTCTGGAGAGGATCACACATACATGGATCCTGAGATTCAAGCTCAAGCCGGTGATCGGTGAGATTTTTCTTCCACATATGGTTTTGGTTTTAGAGACATTGTGAGAATACCTGAGCTGTCGTCCCACCCAGTCCCGTTAAAGGATCTCCACCACTGGCGGTTCCTGTGCTCCATGAGATTTCTCCATAGTTGAACATAGTGAAGAACGCCTCGCCATCTGCGATTAGTACAGTTTGGAATGTGTTCACCTTTTAATCAAACAAGAGGATGAGAAAAGTTTTACAAACAGAAAAACATAAACTCCAACAACGAAACAAATGCTTTCAAAATTGAACACGTTTTACCTGCAGACAAAACTGCAGATTGACTCAATTGCGTAAAATCAATACATGGGATTTCAAAATGGCAATGAGATAAACTGTTCACCATGTGGCCAATTGCTTTAAAATCAAAGCACTTGAATATATTTTCAATCCTTCAAGGTTTTGGTGTTTTGCAGATAAACAATTAGTCGGACTCGTTACAATGATATGAAAACAATAGGTTAAATGTAAAGATTTACAAGTGTATTCCAGTTTAAACACTACGTACAAATGTCAATATAAGCAAATCACTAGCAAAATGCTAACTTGACTGGTAGAGTGCTACAGTTTGCCTTGCATTGTTTTATTCTAGCTAAGCAAAAAGACTGGAAGCAGGGTAACTGCTAGCATCGAGCTAACCCTAACCCTAACCGCTAAAGTCAAACAATCACCACCAAAAATAGCATTAGCAACTTACAATGTTGATGTACAAATCATTAACTTGACTTAAGCCAACGTTGATACCTATCTCTGTTTCTGTAGTTTGTTTGTGCATTCCAACACAAAGTAGATACTGAGCTAAAGACGGGATGCGCTTTTTTTTTTGTCAGATGAGCAAATGTTAAAAGGCATTTTTGTTTTTTATCCACCTAGGCTAGCAGTTGCTAAGCTAGGTTAAACTCTGGAACTGTGTATACGTGCAACAAACATGTTTTATTAGGTGATTTAGACTTTACCGGGGTTGTCTGGCTTCCTCCATAGAAGGTGACTTGGTGCCATGTTGTAATAAAGGCCCAGGTGGCTGTAAACGTGGGCATCTTTTTAAAGTATCTCCGAATATCTTGTGTAGCCCTTTCCAGTATTTCCGGCTCAGTGGTCTCTCGGTAGTACACATCTCCTCGGATGCCGTTGTGCACATCGGCCCAAAGTGGAGCAATGAAGGATCTGCTGTCGCTCAGAGGGAAAGCCTCCGGTGTGAACTGGCTAACCTGCACGTTGAAGGAGATCACACCATTGTTGTTGATCTGTGGACAGAAAAAAAACAGTGTTTCAGCTACATTGCAAATACGTTGTTCAAGTCTAACTTTATATGCAATAACAAGAGCCAGGGTCAAGACTTACATAGATGATACGATATGGTGCATTGAAGAAAACGAAATTAGAGCTTAAAGTAATTTCAGGAGAACTCCCATCATCCATCTTTGGGGTTTCTAGATCCCTGTGGTTGGGTCCATATGGATACAGGATTTCCCAAGTATGAGCTACAAAAGAAAGACAAGGCATAAGGGCTCATTGAAATGACGTTTCTCCACCCTAGAAGACAAAGACATTGACTCATACCTCCTGACTGCACAAAGATGCCGAAGAGGTGGAGCAGAATGACTGGACAGCCTGGCCTGACCATTCTTTAAAAAAACAGAAGAAAAGAGACGGTTAATTTGCTTATTATGTTACCACTTCCTGAACAAGAGTAACAGTCACATGAGTCATAGGACAACTTCTCATAAACGAGGCCGTTAAAAAGGTCGATAGGAGGGAGAACCATGAAACCAACGTCACTGTTCCTTCTTTAAGATCAGGCTCCCAGGTCTCCCCTGAGGACCCTTGAAAAGGCCCTTTTATGCATGCCAGAACAATGTGTCAGGATCACATTTGCCTTACGGTCCCAGGTGAGCCGGTGGACTACGGGACTCTCTGTGCTTCGGTTCCCTGCAGCTGACCGACCTGGCCCTCGGTGCTCCGGTGTCTCAGTGTGTGAAGCCGCGAGAATGCTTAGGACCTCATTACCACTTCTGTTTGGGAGCCATCCATGCCTTGTTTGGCTGGAGGGAGAGGAGCGAAAATACTCTAATGGCTTTAAGTGAGCAGGTTTGAGTTGCCGTGCAGTGGTCCTTAGGGGCTGTTCAGTGGTTTGGCAAGCTTCCCATTGGGTACAGCCAAGCCATTTCCCTAAAACACTATTGTTGTGTATTAAAGATACAACTGCTGACAATTCATCAGAAGTTGACAGATCAACCACAGAACCAAAGGTCATTCTTAGCTTTCTGACGATCAATATAATAGCAGTAACCTATTCAAAGCTGCACTGTTCAGATCTAAATTGACACTGAAAGAAAAACTAGTACCTTTTGGTCCTACAACAATTATGCTGAGCGTTATCAAACTACTCTGTACTGCAATGTATTTAAAAAATAGACATGTATACAAAAGCAATCCAGTCAAAAGACAAAACCACATTGTATGGATACAAACATGTTGACCCTTGGCTCTTTAATATAGAATTTTAAACATTTGTTCAATGAAACTGATTGAGACTTTAAAAGGTGGCGTCCATATGAGTGAATTAGTGGGCCTGCGCATCACTGCCACCTTTAGCCATTAGTTAAAACGGCTGCATCCCATGTATACCATCATGCATTTTGTTAATAGAGGAATATATGAAGAAAACTGTTGAGAAATTAACCGTTAATATTTCTTAAACGTGGTTGATTCATCAAAATGTTGTAGTGTTTTAAATGTACCATATAACCCATTAGTACCTGGGTCAAAATCCAACATTTGTCTCACTTAACTTTGAGGTAGTAAGGTTTTTATTAGTTGACAATATCGCTGTAACTGTATAATTTTAAATGGAAATGAACAAAGTCAGGTTGATGCATGATGCTGACCAACACACATTATCGAGGATTACATATGTTATATGTTGACTTTAGCTGATGTCATTGAAGGCTAAAATAGTGGACCTAAGATATTTAATTTGGAATCTAGACTCTGCTATACACTTGGATATTGGACTCTCAATCTCTCAATGTGTGAATTGCACTCAGCTTGAAGGTAAATTGTGTCCAGGTGAGCCCGGCTGAGTCTGACTGCTGAGAGAGTTCTGCTCTCCTGTCATCAGCCTCTCATCGAACATCATCAACAGAAAGATTAACACAATTGCTCTTTTGACCCTGTAGCTCTCCATCTTATCTGACCGTTGTTAACTCGGTGTCTTTTAGCGAGGCCATTTAGATAAAGCCCCGAAGACTTAAAAGATGAACAAGCCACTTTAACATCCTTATCCTTCAAAAAACAAGTGAGAAAGGTAATGCAAGTAACTAAATACAATCTAGCAAACTTTAGATATACAAGGAATTGTTTGACAACACCTGTAGCAAAACTCTATATGACTGCCATGATCCTTCCCCACCTAACATACTGTATGACCAGCTGGACCCAGGTGAACCAGCTGGACCCAGGCGAACCAGCTAAACCCAGGTGAACCAGCTGGACCCAGGTGAACCAGCTGGACCCAGGCGAACCAGCTAAACCCAGGTGAACCAGCTGGACCCAGGTGAACCAGCTGGACCCAGGTGAACCAGCTGAACCCAGGTGAACCAGCTGGACCCAGGTGAACCAGCTAAACCCAGTTGAACCAGCTGGACCCAGGTGAACCAGCTGGACCCAGGTGAACCAGCTAAACCCAGGTGAACCAGCTGGACCCAGGTGAACCAGCTAAACCCAGGTGAACCAGCTAAAACCAGGTGAACCAGCTAAATCCAGGTGAACCAGCTGGACCCAGGTGAACCAGCTGAACCCAGGTGAACCAACTGGACCCAGGTGAACAAGCTGAACCCAGGTGTACCAGCTGGACCCAGGTGAACCAGCTGGACCCAGGCAAATAGCACAACATTAAGGCCTATCCTATCACTTCACAAACAAGCTCTCAAAGTGTTGGACAGAAAGCCTAAGCTATACCACCATTGCAAAATCCTGGACAAACATAACCTGCTCAGCTGGGGAAATATTTTAAAACACACTGATGCATGTCTCATTTTTAAAATTCTAAACGGCAAGGCACCCCCACCGCTCTGCACTTTTATACAGCAGAAACATTCAAACAGCAGAACCACAAGGTCTGCCCTAGAGGGGACTGTGTAGTCCCTCTTAGGTCCAGCTCCTTTGGTAAACACTGTTTCTCTGTGAGGGCATCAACACTCTGGAACACAACACCAATACAGATAAGGAATAACACTTCCTATCATACATTTAACCGCAATCATAACAACTGGCTTTTAAGCAATCAAAAATGTGAACACTTTTAACTGTATCAAGGTATGATGATATTTCATCTGTTTGCATGTTTGTTCCTCTCGATTGTTGTACTGCTATTTATTTATTGTTGTCTGCTGTACTCTACTTAATTATGTTTTTATTTTCTAGTCTTGTTGTGGTCATTTAACATCTTGCCAAGGACAACAGTTGAAAATTAGCCTGCTGGCTAACACTGGCTCATTTACAGCAATGTGGATTAATGTGCACTGTCCTTTAAATAAATAAACTAAACTAAACATGTGTATCTGTGGCCTCAGAGAAAGACAACTCAGGTCTTTATCACTCTCTGAAGCTCATTTATTCAATGTATACTTCTGTCTGTATCTGGGGCTTCAAGGTGAATTTAAGTCAGAGTTGTGAACTAAAAGTGTGCTTTGTTATACAGTACAATACAAGTAAAAAATGTTCTTTTGTATAGATTGTATACTAACATTAGTGGAAATGTACCTGCAAAAGTAGACCAGTGGTTTCTAATCTGGGGTCTAGGACCTTATCGAGGTCACAGGATGATGGAAAGTTGGTAATATTTTTGTTATGGTCCATTTATTACGTGAAGTCCTAGATTACATTACATCTACCTGGTCATAAAAATCCCCAAAATTAAGAAAATGGTGGGAATCAACCCCAAAAGCTAATATACAGGGTTTGCGACCCCTTAAATATTAAAATAAGCGTGGGGAAAAACATTAAATTAGCAATAAAAAGTAACGTGAAGGATATCAGAAACTATATAAGACCATGAAGCAATAGTGACTGTCTATAGAGTATATAACGGTTCCCCCAACTGGACCTGTACACCTACATCATTAACATATTCCTGCTTATTCTAGCTTTTTTTCTTGCACAATTATGTCAATTGAACCATTTTTCATAATTGTCTATTATGTATTGTATGTTGCATTGACAGTAAAGCCTTTCAATCCTGAACCAAATAGTAAACCGTTGATCAATGAACATAAATATTTGACACAAAAGTCCTTTTAAGCAGCATCAAACAATGAGGCTAAGGACAAACATTAAGGTTCATAAAGAAACTGATGAGTAGAGGAGGAAATGATGCCCTCACCTGCCTTCAGAAGATGGACATCTAGCACCTCAATAGTGTAACCTGGCAGCCTCCTTTAGAGCAGCGTCCCATCCAGCAGAGGACCATCCACTGAGCAGTGGTGATGGACGGAGTAAAACAGGTGATTCTGATGAAGCACGTCCAACTCCAGCTGCACAGAAACCCCAGCAGCAGAAAAGCAATCCAAAAGGTTTGTGTGCTGGGAGTTTAAATGTCCTTACAGGAGAAACAGTTTGGAAAACACCCGTTGAAGCGGTGGAAGGAGCCTGAAGAAGCGGGTGCAAACTTTACCTGGGATACTGTTGAACTTAATCTGAGATCAGTGTTTGGGGAAAGGGGGGTAGGCGGGGAGGAGAGGGAAGCTGAGGGGAGGGACGGCATAGGAATCTGAGGACTAGAGAGAGAGGGGAGAGAGATGATGGAGGCAATTGGGGAAAAAACCACAGAGAAATGCTGCCTGCAGACACGTTTTAAACGGGGGGAAGGAATGTGGCGTACAAAGAGAGGCTCTCACACGGGATGGATGTCAAGCCTTCTGAGCAAAATCTGTCATTAACACCTGCGAGGTGCCACACGATGATAACACATGTCTTTGGTGGACAATTTGGAGGAAACACTGTGGCTTTTATCTTTGAGGAATGGCGCTTGAATACCACATTCTTAATAATATTTCAATCAAGCAGCATTTTAAAACAATTGGTGATCATATGTATATAAGTGGAGTGTCTTGATAAGTCTCTAGCAGGTTCACAGTGGATGTTCTGCCTTTGGATCAGGCCTTGTGTGAGCAAGAGTTCAATAAGTGCATTTAGGGCAGACTACTGAGCACTCACAACTTACCAAAGTAGTACAGTCTGACTCTGGGGCATTTATGGACAAAACCCAGAAACACACACACCTTGCTTTTCAAAGCTCGGTGGTAGGTAGAGTTACAGAATTAACATCAGTCACTTTGGAGACTGTGTACCCCCTTTTTTTTTTAATTAGGACCAGCCTCATTTACAGGGTTATACAAGACACCTTATTTCCATAGATGGTTGGGGAGATAGCGAGGGGAAATCTCACGTGGATCCACACTGATAGGGTCTGGGAAGGAGAAGGCAGTCAGTCAGGTCTTTGTTGACGAGGACAGTGAAAGTAACTAGAGAGGCAGGGAGCAAGATGTCTGAAAGGCTCCAGGTAGGGCAGGACCCAGGCCCCCATTAAGCAGAACCCAGGCTCTCTGTGGAGGCTTCTTTTATACCTCCCACTTCTTGTTGAGTCAAT